CGCTTTACTGGCTGAGGGAGCTGACGTACAGCTTCCGGGTCATGTGGCCAGCATGACTAAGCCGCTTCTGGTGAACCAGAGCAGCGCACGGAAACACCGTTTGCCTTCCCGCTGGAGCAGTACCTATTTATCTACTTGCACTTCATGCTTTCGAACTGCTAGGTTGGCAGGAGCAGGGACCGAACAATGGGAGCTCACCCCATCACGGGGAAAAGGATAAATGGACATAAATCTGACATCAGGAATCACAAGACAGAGAAACCAGTAGGAGAACACTTCAGTCTCCCAGGACATTCAATACAAGATATCAAAGCAGCTGTCTTATTACAAAAGAATTTCAGAAATAGATTTGAAAGAGAAGTTCCTGAATTACAACTTATTACTAAACTGAAAACTATGGAGAGACCTGGTCTGAATAGAGATATTGGATTCTTGTCTCATTACACACGCTAAAGCTATTTTTGGTTATTTGCATACTATCCCTTGCTTTTCCCTGTAGGACTAATTGCAGTTGTTAACAGTCATCAACAGGTTTACCACATACCCATTGAGTCAATCACCCATCTCCTACTACCTGTCTGAGAAATACTCCACCCCACCCTCCCACTATAGATAAGGGTCTGGTGACTTCTGTTTCAGAGTATCTGACGAAGTGTGCATGCACACAAAAGCTTATACCCAGAACAAACTTAGTTGGTCTTTAAGGTGCTACTGGACAATTTTTTAGTTTAAATTGCTGTTTAAGAAGATTCATTTGTTAATATATGCCGCCCAAATCAATCAAAGAAGGAGTGCACACATAAACGCTCCTACATTAGAGAGATTAGATGTGAATAGGTATCACCAGCTCATATTTAAAAGTGCTAATATGCATCTTTCTTGCCTTGCAGCCAGGCAGTTTTGCAAATCAGTATTCACCAAGGAAAATGACATTGTTTTCATTTATTTTTCTACTGCATTTTAATCAGGCTCACATTTATTTTCTTACAAGTAAAAAACACATCACATTGCCTGAGGTGACAAGAGTGCGCACCAAAAAAATTACCCTAACTGTTTATGTAAAATTTAAATGGCACTTATGTGGAAATGATGTGTTGTTGTTTTTGTCTAGTCTATTTGGGCCAATTACATCTAGATAGATTTCTATATAATTTATGCTAGGGTAATTTTTTGACAGGTTATTTGGGAGGTTGCAAAATACCAACCTTTCAACAAGAGTGAAAGTTTCTTAGGCCTCAGTTCAGTTTCTAGCAAGTTGCTCATTTTAATCCATGGTCCTGCAGCCATTAGCCTTGCCTTGTTTCCTTAAGAACATCAGGCTGAGGTCTCCAGACACAAGACAAAGATAAACACTGCTATCCACTGTATACAGTTCTTCTGGTCTTTGGAGTAAAGATACATATGTACAGATCCACTAACACTATCACCATGCTAGTTTACACTGCTGTGTAAAACCCACAGATTCAGGCTGGGGGTATTCCTGAATCCTTTGCTGTTGCTTGATGCTCAGTGGCATTGAATGCCTTCCATCAGTTTTGGCTGGTGGCCCAGCCGTGCCCCTGTCTGGACAGGGATAGCCTAACTTCTGTTGTATATGCTCTGGTAACCTCTAGGTTGGGTTACTGCACTGTGTTATACATAAGGCTGCCTCTGAAGATGGTTTGGATACTTCAGCTGGTGCAGAACTTGGCTAGCAGGTTGTTCATGGGGGCAAGGTAGTTTCAGCATATTACACCAATCCTGGCCTGACTGCACTGGCTGCCAATTAGCTTCTAGGCCCAATTCAAAGTGCTGGTTTTTACCTATAAAGCCTTAAACAGCTCAGGACTGAAATATCTCAAGGACCACCTCTCCCCATATAAACTGACCCAGACCCTGTGATCATCATCTGAGGCCCTTCTTTTTGTGCCTTCTCCATGAGAAGTCTGGAGGGTGGCAACACGAGAATGGGCCTTTTCTGCAGTGGCCGACCTGACATCTTTTGCTGAATGGTGGTATATAAATATAACAAGGAATAAAATAAAATAAACAAATGTTATGGCATTTTCAGGGACAAATAAACGTTGCTGTACCAATCAAATTACTTTATTGCACATGAGAGAGTTGCAATGCCCATATTAAGTTTGGTACAGGTATGGATTGCTCTGTTCTCTTCTGCTATTAATGTTTCCCTCAGCAAACAACAAAGAAAAATAAAGAAATGTGACTAGATGCTAGAAACAGCAATAACAAAGTATGTTTGCACCTTATCATGAATTTTGTCAAGCATCAGCAACAAAGAACAAACACTATCAGTTTGCCTTCTCTCATTCACTGTTGCAAAATAAATCTCAACACGGAGAAGATAATGTCCCATGCTTTGTTCTGTAATCAATCTGTTATTGATGGAGAATCTATTTTCCCTCTAAAGCTAAGTCAGTGTCAGCTCCGGTTCCAGGAGTCCTCAGAACCCCAGGTGGTCTCTGGGACTCGCAGCTTCCAATGGCGGGGAAATTACTCAAAGAGTTCCATTACCTCGTTTCAGTTCCAGACTCTAATCTGTCTGTGTCTGTGTATAATAAGCACTCACACTTTACATTGTGGGTGCCCTTTGTGGGATCGCAAGCAGTGCTACAGTTCCCAGGGAACTTACTGGCAAATAGGGACTGGCCTGCCTCTCAGTGTTAATTTTTTGAGGTTCACGCCCATCCTCAGTAGTCAAGTTTCATTGCTGGGAGGTGGGGCCAGTCCCATATATATAAGGGGGTGGAGCCGACAATATCCAGGCAGCCGGTTTAGTGGTGGTGATTCCAGGGTCCCCCTCTTAAAGGAGTTATATATATGGGTGTCACTGGCCATACACTGAAAGATTGCGCGTGGGGATATGGGCTTGGCTGCCTGCTACACTTACATCTCGCAGAGCACCCCCATATCCCATTTACCCTGATGAGCCCCAGTTCCCCCTGGCTGGGGGGCTGGGAGGGATACATGCCCAAGGCCTAAGCCAAGGTCTTCCTACATTCAGAAGTTTAATAAAGTTGTGGCCTAATTTTAATTCCATATAATGTTGTCAGAGTCTTTATTCCTTCCATATGATCCCTGGGGGCTGGGGTTGTCGCCGCCTGGTCACGCAATGCATTTTCTCCTGCGGCCACTTATTATGATTTATTAAATTTGTAGACCCTCCTTCATCCATAGATCTCAGGACAGTTCACAACATAAAAATACAATAAATAAATATGCTCATTCAGTTCTTATACTGATGTCCAGTGTCCTATCCTGCTTGCTCCCCGCCCCCCCCACTTTTTACTCCTCTCCCTCTCTCTGGGTTACCACTAGGAATGACAACCACAGACTCTTCTGTACTATTACTTTTCTTCTGAGTAAGAAAGGTAGCGGCCAACCAGGTTCCTCCTTGCCTTCACTGCCCCAGCAGTGGTGCCACCTGCATGGTGTTTGTGTGGGGTGGGGAGAAGTGCTCCAATGATAATATCCATTTCTAGACCTTTTCTGTTATTCTGTTGTTGTTCTTCCTCCAAAACACACACTACTTCCAGGTCTCCCCCTAAATGGGTAGAAAACTGGCTGGGGTAGAGAAACTGCCTTGTGCTTCCACTGCCTAACAATGGAAGTGGTGAGAGGAAGAGACCGCAGAAAGTTGCTAGGAAGACAGTTTTCTTAGTCCCTCTGCAGTACTTTTTCAGAGAAGGGTACTGAGTTGGATGGATGGGATTATGATGCATCTGCACATAATGGTTTAATTATGACTCGGTAATATACGGTTCTGGAATGCTCTGCAAATATTTTGTATGAACCTGTTCCATAGGAGCTGAAGCTATTGCAAATATGTCAGGTCAAGTCTCTCTTTAATTGCTAGAGAAGAGAATAAAGCAGATTTATGCTTCAGCTTTGATCTAATATAGGAAGTTTGCTGATAGAAATAGGCTTTTAACAGGAATCTAATTTTTCTCTTAGTGTGGAATTGTTTTATGGTAGCTGCTTTTAAATCAAACATGGACTTTAAGAGCAAATTAGAAATGAGTTCGGTGGGGGAGGGGGTAAAGACATAATTCCTTCAACATCAAAATATAATATATTCTTCTGTTCTGAGTCAGCAGTGGCCAATGGAAATAAGGAAGGTTATTTTCACTTGCAGCCTCTCGTATCACCTCCCATGCTGTTCTGGGGAGTCTCCCAACCCTCTGGAGCAGATGGGGGGCTGCTGTAGGAGGAAGAGATAATTTGCAAATATCATCTCCAGTCCTTCTGCACATTGGATCTGAGCCATTCAGCTTGCTTGAGAAATACCCACCATTAACGGCTCCCAGTGGCAATCCTAGCCATGCCCACTCAGAAGTCTACTCCCGGGTAAATGGGGCTAAGATTGCAGCCTCATCCACCTTCTATTTTTAAAAATAAAATAAGCCATATGAGTGGTCAAAATAAATCATGGAATTTTATGCTTCAAGCCATTCCAACTGCAATGTGAGTTTCCTTCTGTTTTGCATTGCACAGCTCTGTTTCACTTGGGCAATCACAAGTTTGATAAAGGCACATCATAATTGAATCAGTTTTCTATCACAGCACTCACAAATGAATCTTTTCATTTCAATGAAGAGATCAAGTCAAAACCATTTGAAGATTGCATGATTTAGTTCCTGCACAAAGCAAACCTGCTGTCTTCTCGCAGTCTTTTACTGCAAGAAGGTGGATTTATTGAATTAAATAGCACAAGCCAGGGAGATTGGTGATAGAAATAAAATACGTTGTAGCATATGACTTTAATTACTAGATGGAAATTGACAAAGAGGGATATTAATAAATCGAATGAATAGCTAGTTCTCTTGAAACTGTGAAACAAGTTATAGATTGACAAAAAAAAATTGCTTTAAAATACATTATTAGGAACATACTTAGGAAGCTGTAGCTGTCAGAACTTTGGTCTATTCAGCTCAGGCTCATCTGCACCTACCAACAGCAATGGTCCACGGTTTAAGATGGCAGATATTCCCAGGCCTAACTGGAGAGACCCTGGATTGAACATGGGACCCTCTATATGCAAACCAGATGCTCTACTACCGAGCTACAGCCCTTTCCCAAGTTAAAGTCCCATTAAAACGTTTAGAGCAGGTGTGGGGAAGCTTTGGCCCTTCTGATGTTGCTGAATTACAACTCCCATAACCCCTAGTCATTGATCATGCTTGCTGGGGCTGATGGGAGTTGTAGTTCAGCAACATTCCCTCTCCTGGTTTCATCTGATATGTTATAAGGCAGCATCATATGTTACTTATTTAAAGCCAGCATCTCCAGGCAGGATAGCCTGCTTGTGCCACCTTGACCTTACCCTCCCCAAGCTAAGTTTTCTGATCTTGGGAAAGAAGAAATACCTTTTTTTAATAAAAGAGTTCTAATCAAACATTCAACGAAACTCTTGAGGATTTTTGAGTGCTTGATTGGAACACATGAAAACCTCCAAGAATCTTTGGCATGTGTAGGGGGTTGATTGCCTGTCCCAACAGGGAACTTAATTTGGATGAAGATTCTTTGGGATAACAATAGCTAATTTGTTTGACAGGCTTATAAATTGCTTTGTAACAGCAGAGTTCAATGAGGCTTACTCTTAAGTCAGTCTGCACTCAGCTGCAAATATGCAGTAGAGTGCTAAGCCTGCTTACTCAATAATCGATCCCATGTTATTCATGACCCTAGACCAGGCTTCAGCAACCTCGGCCCTCCAGATGTTTTTGACCTACAACTCCCATGATCCCTAGCTAGCAGGACCAGTGGTCAGGGATGATGGGAATTGTAGTCTCAAAACATCTGGAGGGCCGAGGTTGAGGAAGCCTGCCCTAGACACAATTAAGCAGAGGTTTATTGCAATAAAATGAAGGGGAGATAATATGGCTGGCTACATATGGAGGCAGTGAGTTGGGGAGAAAGCCTGAGAAGCAAGTGCAACTGTGGTAAAGAGACACTTCAGAGGATTACATGGAGCAGCTGAGGCCTACAAAAGTTTACACATATGTGCCATGCACTGTATGCCCTCCCCTTGAGTCTGAGGTCTTTTTTTGGAATTATGGGGAACTGGAATGTAAAATCAATACTCTGAACATACTTTGTTTGGTAGAATGAGATTACCGTATATATTGCCTCCTCCAAGGAAGCATTTCAGCTCCTGAACTAGTAGCAGTCAGTTGTAGAGGGGGTGGGTGAAGTGTGGCAAGGTCAGTGTGCTGCAAGTGCACTGGCAGAGCCATTCTGGTGCTCCTGCTGGTGTGTTTGCACTGCACCAGCCTCTCCACCATCTTGCCCCTCCCCATCCACTTCCCACAGAGGTCAGATGAGATATGCCACCCGACCATGCAATCCTCTACTGCATGGGCAGGCAAACTAAGGCCCAGGGGCCAGATGCAGCCCAATCACTTTCTAAATCCGGCCTGCGGACAGTCTGGGAATCAGCGTGTTTTTACATGAGTAGAATGTGTCCTCTTATTTAAAATGCATCTCTGGGTTATTTGCGGGGCCTGCCTGCTGTTTTTACGTGAGTAGAATGTGTGTTTTTATTTTAAATGCATCTCTGGGTTATTTGTCGGGCATAGGAATTCGTTCATTTCCCCCCCCCCTTCAAAATATAGTCCAGCCCCCCACAAGGTCTGAGGGACAGTGGACCAGCCCCCTGCTGAAAAAGTTTGCTGACCCCTTCTCTATTGCCTTAAACCCAAATAATTCTGAAGCTTGAGCTTGAGCTACTATTGGCTTCCAGAATCGTTATCAGGGATGTTCAACTACTGTTAAGTCAAAGAGGCTCTACTAAAGACAACAGAGTGGTGTTAATGTGAATCTAGACTTTTAATTTGCATATAAAGCATCCTCAATGAACTGAGCAAACAGTACAAAATGTTCCACTGCCTGTTACAAAAGTCAGCATTATCTTATATAGTAAATTTGTGTGTATCCACTGTCTCAACCATTAGTTGCCTATGTCAGCTTACATGATTGCCCAATAAATTTATGGAAAATAAATTAACATTTCACTGAAAGAGGCCTTGAATTATGAACTCTTTCTCTTCTCTAAATCACTTTTTGTCCTTGTGTGTGAAACAAAACAAAAAATGAAAATGAAATGAGGAAGAAACAAGCCTTTGACTTAACCATAATGGAGAAAGACAAAACACAGCTTCTCATTTGAATGTCTGACACAGTCAGATGAAAAGAGAGCAAGGGGATAGGACTACACATATTTATTTTATTCTGGTTATAATTCTTCAGATGCCCTGTTTCACAGATACTAATTGTAAGTGCCATTTTGATGTATGGCTTTCCAAAGAAGCAATTTCTTATGCGAAAGGAAGATGTTAAGAAGATGTTAGGAATTCCTTTCACCAGCTATGACTGTTCTTGGTCAGCAAAAGTCTGCCCATGGTGAGTAGTGCACTGGGAACCATAAGACTTAAATGTTGCAATGAGCTCTATGTGGGGCTATCCTTAGGCCTGGTCCAGGTACAAAATGCTGCAGCTAGAGCCTTGATGGGGGCAGATTATCACCAGCAGTGCTTTTTCCCCTAAAAAAAATGTTTGGGGTACTCTTTTTCCTACTCATATTAAAACACTGCCCCTCAATGAAGCCAAACTTAGATTCACAAAATGTTTAGGGGTAGGCATATCCCTGCATCCCCCCAGGAAAAAAACACTGATCACCAGCATGTAACTCCTGTGCTCTGGCTGCCCACACACTGATGGACCAGGTTCAACATTATTGTATTAGTTTACAAGGCCTTTAACAACTCGAGTCCAAGATACCTGAGGGATCACCTGCTTGCTTAGGTCCCTGCTTGATAGCTGAGGTCTTTGGGGGAGTCGTTAGTGGTGCCCATGGTTCATATCCGCCAGGAGCCATGTTTTCAGTCTTGTGCCCTAATTTTATATAACTCCCTTCCTTGATCTCATAATTTCTCTTATATTTTGCTCTTCTGTGCATTTGCTGTAATACAACCCAGAGCAACTGGACAGCAACCTTACTCATCTGATCTGATGAGCTTCTCCCCTGTACAGGTTTCTCTGATGTGCAATAAGGTTTTTGCAGATACAGAAGCTCTGCTCACATTCTAAACATTCATGAAGTGTCTCTCCAGTGTGGGTTTATTTGACGTGCAGTCAGATTTTACTTCCACTTGAAGTCAAACCTGACTTCAGAGGAGGCTTGTCTCTGAAGATAGGCTCCCCCCAAGTAAAGATGTGACTGGCATATTTAATGCTGGTTTTAGTACAAGAAGATGTTGTTGACTGGGAATACAACTTCACTGGTATTTTTCATGGAAAGTTCTTATTCCAAACACGCAAAGCAGATGCCGTTTACAAAGTCAGTTGGTCTAGGTCCTTTTTTCATATGTGGTGGACTTGTAGAAAGGCGACAGGCCTCTGGGAAATCATACATAATGAATTTTAAAAGATGCTTAAAAGAGTTATTCCCAAGAGACCTGAAGCAATTCTTCTGGGTATTATGGGGACAGAGGTCCCCAAAAGATGGTTAAGTTGGAAGTGGAAAGAAGGAGAAGTCCCAACAAAAGAATAAATTTTAAAGTTATTGGACTGCAGAGACGATGAAGCTGACAGCAAAAATAAGAGATCAAAAAGATTAAAACTTTGTCAAGGAACAGAGGTTCTTTTCAGACTATTTGAGAGAAAAATATAGTCAAATGAAATTCTGAGCAGGATTTGAGTAATACATGAAGGAGAATGAATACATGATTTTAATATTAGTTATAATATAATAGAAAATAAATGGTAGTTTTGGCAGCAGATAAGGGACAGGAACATCACAGATGTAAGGATGGGAAGTAAAAATGTAAGAAATTACTATACTGAAAATGAATTGGACAACGTTTAATTTTGTGTAAAATTATTATTATTATTATTAGTATTATTAGTATTATTAGTATTATTATATGTAAAAAAAGAAAGTCAGTTGGTCAATCTAGCTCAGTACAGTGGTACCTCGGGTTACATACGCTTCAGGTTACAGACACCGCTAACCCAGAAATAGTGCTTCAGGTTAAGAACTTTGCTTCAGGATGAGAACAGAAATCGTGCTCCGGTGGCGTGGCGGCAGCAGGAGGCCCCATTAGCTAAAGTGGTGGTTCAGGTTAAGAACAGTTTCAAGTTAAGTATGGACCTCCGGAACGAATTAAGTACTTAACCCGAGGTACCACTGTATTGACTACAGCAGGTGTGGGGAACCTGTGGTTCTTCAGATGTCATTGGATTACAGCTCCCATCAACCCTAACAATTGGCCCATGTTGGCTGGGGGAGATAGGAGTCCAACAAATACCAAGAGGACCACAGGTTCCCTAACTCTACTCTATAGTGCGGCAGCACTGGAGATGCTGGGGATTAAAACAGGGACCTTCTGCAAGACTCTACTCAACTAAGCAGTGCCCCATCTCTTCACAGACATAAATCATTTTGTATTTTATCAACATCCCCAAGGTGTTTTTCTTTGAGTTTTTTACTTTCAGCAAAAGTGATCATGCAAATTCGTTTTTTGGATGATTGCACCTTAGAGGAGAGGAGGAGGAGGAGAAGAAGAGGAAAATATATGGAAATTAGTAGCATCCCCCCTTGATGTAAACAAGTTCAACAGGACGCTGAGCGCTCAGTATTTCCATTGTTTACTGAAGCTGCAGTGAATGACTTATTTTTATATTCTTTTAAATTCAATAAGCCAATAATGCATCCAACTTTTGGTAATGTTAGTCAGATCATGTGTGCAAATTAGCCCGAAGAACAAATATTATGCTTTCAGCAAGGAAGGAGAGGCAAGCAAGCGTATCTTTTACAAAATGTAAACAGTGGAAATGATCAATTTGCCATTCTCATTAAATATAATTAGATAAATAGAACTGCAAAATATATTTGTCACCGAGTTGCCATAAGAATAGAAATAGATGCTGACATCTTTGCAAAGCCTCTTATTAATGCGTATGTTGAATTTCTGAATACTAATCTTCAGGTTCTATGGAGATTTAGGGTGCAATCTGATGGGAAACACTTCTGAATATCCACACAGGGATTTCAGGATTCAAGGCTGAATCCAGGA